CCACCATCATGGGCAAGACCAAAGAGCTGTCAAAGGACATCAGGGACAACATTGTAGACCTGCATGAGACTGGAATGGGCTACAAGACCATCAGCAAGAAGATGGTGAGAAGGAAACAAATGTTGGAGTGATTATTAGGAAATGGAAGAAATACAAAATAATCATCAATTGCCCTCAATCTAGAGCTCCATTCATGATTTCACCTCATAGGGTAGAGATAATCATGAGAAAAGTGAGGGATCAGCCCAGAACAGGGCCGTAGATCATTTTCTTTCCTGGGGGGGGGGGGGAGTCAGCCTTGAGTACCCAGAGAACATAATTAGGATGCCTGCCACGATGTGAAAAATTGTGGTGTATATACAGTTGTGCTAAAAAGTTGCAGAAATTGTGCAGTTTTGCCATTGATATTGAAAATATGATTGATCATGCCAAAAAATGCTCTTTTATTGAAGGATGATGATCATATGAAGCCATTTATTATCAAATAGTTGTTTGGCTCTTTTTTTAAATCATAATGATAACAGAAATCACCCAAATGGCCATGATCAAAATTTTACATACCCTGGAATGTTTGGCCTTGGTACAGACACACAAGGTGACACACACAGGTTAAAATGCCCATTAGAGGTTAATGTTCCACATCTGTGGCTTTTTAAATTGCAATTAGTGTCAGTGTGTAAATAGTCAATGAGTTTGTTAGCTCTTACGTGGAAGCACTGACTAGGCTAGATACTGAGCCATGGGGATCAGAAAAGAACTGTCAAAAGTCCTGAGTAACAAGGTAATGGAACTTTATAAGGATGGAAAAGGACATATAAAGATGTCCAAAGCCTTGAAAATGCCAATCAGTACTGTTAAATCACCTATTAGGAAGTGGAAAGTTCGGGGATCTCTTGATACCAAGCCAAGGTTAGGTAGACCAAGAAAGATTGCAGCCATAACTGACAGAAGAATTGTCTGGGATTTAAAGAAAAACCCACAGGCAACCTCAAAAGAAAATCAGGCTTCTCTGGAAAAAGATGGTGTGGTTGTTTTAAGGAGTACAATACAGGTGAAACTCGAAAAATTAGATATCGTGCAAAAGTTCATTTATTTCAGTAATGCAACTTAAAAGGTGAAACTAATATATGAGATAGACTCATTACATGCAAAGCAAGATAGTTCAAGCCGTGATTTGTCATAATTGTGATGATTATGGCTTACAGCTCATGAAAACTCCAAATCCACAATCTCAGAAAATTAGAATATTCCATGCAATCAATAAAACAAGGATTGTACATAGAACAATATCGGACCTCTGAAAAGTATAAGCATGCATATGTACTCAGTACTTGGTTTGGGCCCCTTTTGCAGCAATTACTGCCTCAATGCAGCGTGGCACAGAAGCTATCAGCCTGTGGCACTGCTGAGGTTTTATGGAAGACCAGGATGCTTCAGTAGCGGCCTTCAGCTCTTCTGCATTGTTCGGTCTCATGTCTCTCATCTTTCTCTTGGCAATGCCCCATAGATTCTCTATGGGGTTCAGGTCAGGCGAGTTTGCTGGCCAATCAAGCACTGTAATCCCATGGTCATTGAACCAGGTTTTGTTGCTTTTGGCAGTGTGGGCAGATGCCAAGTCCTGCTCGAAAATGAAGTCAGCATCCCTATAAAGCTCATCTGAGGAAAGAAGTATGAAGTGCTCCAAAATCTCCTGGTAGGCGGCTGCGTTGACCCTGGACTTAATGAAGCACAGTGGACCAACACCAGCAGATGACATGGCTCCCCAAATCAACACAGACTGTGGAAACTTCACACTGGACTTCAAGCATCTTGCAGTGTGTGCCTCTCCATCCTTCCTCCATACTCTGGGTCCTTGGTTTCCAAATGAGATGCAAAAGTTGCTCTCATCAGAAAAGAGACTTTGGACTACTCAGCAACAGACCAGGTCTGTTTTTCTTTAGCCCAGGTAAGACGCTTCTGACGTTGTTTATCGTTCAGGAGCGGCTTAACAAAGGGAATACGACATTTGAAGCCCATGTCCAGGATCCGTCTGTGTGTGTGGTGGCTCTTGATGCACTGACTCCATCCTCAGTCCACTCCTTGTGAAAGTCCCCAACACTTTTGAATGGCATTTTGCTGACAATCCTCTCCAGTCTGCGGTCATCCCTGCTACTTGTGCACCTTTTTCTTCCACACTTTTCCCTTCCACATAAACTTTCTAATAATGTGCTTTGATACAGCACTTTGGGAACATCCAACTTCTTTTGCAATTACCTTTTTGAGGCTTTTCCTCCTTATGGAGGGTGTCAATGATGGTTTTCTGCACAAGTGTCAGGTTAGCAGTCTTTCCCATGATTGTGATTCCTACTGAACCAGACTGAGAGACCATTTAAAGGCTCAGGAACCCTTGTGTTATGGCTTATATAGCTGATTAGAGTGGGACACTTTGAGCCTAGAATATTGCACCTTTTCACAATATTCTAATTTTCCGAGATTGTGGATTTGGGGTTTTCATGAGCTGTAAGCCATAATCATCACAATTATGACAAATCACGGCTTGAACTATCTTGCTTTGTATGTAATGAGTCTATCTCATATATTAGTTTCACCTTTTAAGTTGCATTACTGAAATAAATGAACTTTTGCACGATATTCAAATTTTTTTAGTTTCCCCTGTATGGTGATACTTGAACAAAAATGAGCTGTTTGGTCAGGGTGCCAGAACAAAGCTTTTACTGCACCAATGCCACAAAAAAGCCCAGTTACAATATGCCTGACAACACCTTGACATGCCTAACCAGGCCTTTTTGTGTCATTGATGCAGTAAAGGCTTCTTTCTGGCACCTCGACCATGCAGCTCATTTTTGTTCAAGTGTCATCATATTGTGCTCCTTCAAAACAACCACACTGTCTTTTTCCAGAGCAGCCTGTATTCTTCTTGTGGTTACCTATGGGTTTCCCTTGTATCCCGAACAATTCTTCTGGCAGTTGTGGCTGCAATCTTTCTTGGTTTACCTGTCCTTGTCTTGTTATCAATAGATAGTAATAGGAGCAAAGGCAGCGTGACTGGGAAGGAGATCAAGTTGATGGGAGTGGAGAGAGCTTAGTGAAGAAAGGAGGAGAGGGATTATTTAATACTTTGCAGTCAGTAGCAGATCTCTCACCTCGATCACTGAAGGACCTTCACTCAGTGCAAGCAGTTCTGCAGCTTCTGTTCATGCTTCTCCCCACATCAGTCTTGCTTCATCCCTCACCCTACAGGAATTAATTTGGAGGGAAGGACAATGCACTCTGCATACCCATTTGCTGAGGAGACAGCAGCATTGCTGCTGTGACATTGACTGATGCTCTGGGGGGGGTTTGGACCCCCCTGACTCCCCCTTATCTATGCCCCTGGCCCAGAACTACAGGGCAGGTTTTTGTGAATGATCGCAAGGCAGTTGGGACCCCAGTTACCAAACAAACCATTGGTAACACAATACACCGCTATGGATTGAAAACCTGCAGTGCCTGCAAGGTCCCACTCCACGAGAAGGCACATGTACAGGCCCGTTTCAAGTTCGCCAATGAACATCTAAATGATTCAGAAAAGGATTAGGAGAAAGTGCTCTGGTCAGATGAGACCAAAATTGATCTCTTTGGCATTAACTCGACTTGCCGTGCTTGGAGGAAGAAAAATGCTAACTATGAACATCATTCCTACAGTCAAGCATGGAGGTGTAAACATTATGCTTTGGGGCTGTTTCCCTGCTAAAGGTACAGGCCGACTTTGCCGCATTGAGGGGCCAATAGACATAGTTACATAGTTAGTCTGGCTGAAAAAAAGACAAAAGTTCAACCATTAAAAAAAAAAAGTTATAATCCTATACCCACAGTTGATCGAGAGGAAGGCAAAAAACCCAGCACAGCATGATCGAATTTGCTCCTGCAGGGAAAAAAATTCCTTCCTGATCCCCCGAGAGGCAATCGGATATTCCCTGGATCCATTTTACTGATAAATGTTAGTATCCAGTTATATTCTGTGTATCTATATTTTGTGTATCTAGACGAAGCCATTTATAATAAAATCTTGGATGAGAACCGTCTTTCCTCAGCAGAACACTGAAGATGGGTTGTGGATGGGTCTTCCTTCATGACAATGACCACAAACACAAAAACATACCGCCAAGGCAACAAAGAAGTGGCTCAAGAAGAAGCACATTAAGGTCATGGAATGGCCTAGCCAGTCTCCAGACATTAATCCTATAGATAATTTATAGACGGAGCTGAAACTTTGAATTGTCAAGTGACAGCCAAGAAACATTAAGGATTTAGAGAAGATCTGTCAAGAACAGTGTACCAAAATCCCTCCTGAGATATGTGCAAACCTGGTAACCAGCTACAGGACACGTCTTACCTCTGTTCTTGCCAGCAAGGGTTTCTCCACCAAGTACTAAGTCATGTTTTGCTTGGGGATCAAATAATACTATAATACTTACCATACAATACAACTATAATACTTTACTCACTGAACTGCAGATCAATTTTTAACATTTGTATCATGTGTTTTTTTCTGGGTATTTGGTTGATATTCTCTATAATTTAAAATACACCTATGATAAAATTCTAGACCCTTCATTTCTTTGTAAGTAGACAAACTTGCAAAATCTGCAGTGGATCAAATAATAATATTCTCCACTGTAGTTAGGTGGAAAAAAAAAGACCAAAGTCCATCTAGTTCAATCAATAGAGATTACTGAACTAAGTGATGTTAGTGCAGCGATCTCTCCCGATGTGCCTTTTTGTTCTGACAGGGTGACCCCGCCCTTCCTCTCCAGAACAAACTAATCAGGAGCTGGTTTTCTATCATGTCCCTTTGAAAGAAGCCAGTCCTTAGACCGACTTCTGTGAGAAGTACAGCTGTACGCATGGTCGTCCGAATGCCGACTGGTTCCTGCTGAATCTGGTGATATTTGGGCCATGTGTACCCAGCTTAAGGAAAATGCTGATTCACTGCTTTAAATAGGCAGAAAAAAACAGAGTTTAATGCCCATCATCACTCATTCTAAGGCAGTGTTTCTCAATTCCAGTCCTCATGGACCCCCAACAGGTCATGTTTTCAGGATTTCCATTATTTTGCACAGGTGATTTGATCAGTTTCACTGCCTTAGTAATTACCACAGCTGTTTCATCTGAGGGAAATCCTGAAAACATGACCTGTTGGGGGTCCATGAGAACTGGAGTTGAGAAACACTGTTCTAAGGTAAGGCACTCCATCAAGGATGTAGGAAGGGTAAGATGTCACTTAGATGTAATTCATATTTATTAGAATAATAATCATCTATTTTATATTGTGAAGAAAGGTCACAGATAGCTAAAGAATACAAGCTCAAAACAGAATTTAACATTTGAATATGAATGACATGATCATAAAAGGTTATCTAGCCAAATATTATAAATCCTATACCTTCCAAAAAAATTTGGAGCTTTATCAAGATAAAGCTCACACGGGTTCAGATAACACAGGACCTTGCTATGCTGATATGAGTTACTATTACACTTGTTTGTATGTTAAAGAGTCAGCAAAATATAAGTTTTATTAAATTGAAATCTAAAATATTTTTCGGTTTGAATGATGATCATGACTGTCAAAAGCGTGTATGTTCATTGAACTGAATGAAATTCGAAATGCCCCAAAAAAAGATTCCTAATGGTTACATACTGAGGCTGCAAAAAGATACTTCTATCAAGTTCAGTATAAAAAAAAAGTCCAAAAGCTGCAGTCGATTCTGAAGATGGTAAAAACCTTTAAAAAGTATAGGCCAGTTTGCCACAGAATTGAAAAAAATTCCTTCTTTATCCTTAAAGACTAACAAAACTTCCTGAACCAATATATAATAATATTATTTCTTAGAAATGTAAGTAGCCATTTATATTTTGTGCAGTTAGAAACACATGCAGGCATTTTTAAACGCAAGAAGCAAAGTCTAAATGATGTGGAATATTCCTATTCAAAACTATTGGTTTGTAACATGTTTTGTTTATTCTGCATACTCACCTGTCTGTGTCTAGCTGTTCCATTTGTAGGTTGTTCAATTGTTTTGTAATTGGAAGTATTTTTTCACTTTTATTTTTTGTGGAAACATTTTATAAATAAAATCTGATATAAAAATATCAATAAAATCAGTTAAAACTAGTTCCTATTCGAAGACTACTCCACATTTTCATAGCTCTTACAGTAACAAAAACCTTTCTGTATAAAAGGTTAAAACTTTTTTTCTCTAATAGCAAAGTGCAGCTTTGTCTTTTATAGTGACTGTGAATTAAATAATCTTACACTTGACTTACCATATGGGCAATGTATGTATACCCACTTCAGTACTGGACACTTTTACCTCCTTCCTGCCCAGGCCAATTATCAGCTTTCAGCACGGTTACACTTTGAATGACAATTGTGTGGTCATGCAACACTGTATCAAAACAACATTTTTATCCTTTTGTTCATACAAATAGAGTTTTTTTTGGTAGTATTTGATCACCACTGGGTTTTTTTATGTCTTTCTAAATAAACAAAAAAAGACTAAACATTTTGAAAAAAAATGTTTTTTCTTTGTTTCTTTTGTAAAATGTTGCAAATGAATAATCATTTTTCATAAATGTACGCCAAAATGTATTCTTATACTTTGGTAAAAATAGCACAAATCAATGTATATTATTTAGTCTATAGGAAATTTATGGAATCTACAAACTATAAGATGTGATTTTTTAAAATAGATCAATCCTGATGGCCTGTCTCATTTCTTAGTTCACACTAATGCGGTGTGGTATATCACATGTGATTCGCACAGGAACTGCACTGCAAACCCGTGCAAATCACCTGCGATTTGTGTGCGGTGCAATTGAAGCCATACATTGTGTTTGGCTCAAATTGCACCGCACTCACACCAAAAAGGTGCAGGACCCTTTTTTGGGTCCGCACTAGAATTGGATTGAGTGGGTATTCACACCTATGCGATCCTATTCTGCGCATCAATTCGTTTTGTGGACTGATTTCGGGGTGTTGTTAACTTAACATACACACCCGCAGCGGTTCGCATGAATGGGGTGTGATTCTGATGCGGTGTGGAATTCGTACAGAAATCGCTGCGAATTCCGCACCGCATCAATGTGAACCCAGCCTGAGAGGCCCGAAAATGCCAGGACAGTACAATTATGCCCCAAATGACTCCTTTTTGGAAAGTAGCTAGTCCAAGGTATTTAATAAGAGGCATGGCAGGTTTTTTGAAGTTGTAATTTTTTGTCACAATTTTCTGGAAAATGAAAAAGTTAAAAAAAAAAGTTTCACAATTTTTTTTAACATACTGTAACCAGTGCAGTACAGAGTCATCATATAAATGAGTGATCAGGCAGTGATCGTAAACACTGATTGGCAACAGTATGAAAAAAAATGAATATTACTTTTTAATTTTTTTCAATTTTTTCTTTGTTGCTACATTTTTAATTTTTTTTACATTTTTTAACACTGTACATAGTAATACTGTACTGCCCTGGTCACAGTATGTAAAAAAATGTACTACTCTGTGGAGGTTATCAGTATTTGTTTTTACACACGCTATGGTTGCTTAATACAGCGATAATTACTGTTATAAGCAACCATTTGTTATGATTGATTTTGTTCATATCAATGTGTATTGTTATTAGCTGTGATTGGCCACAGCTAATCACATAGTACAAATGGGCTGTGATTAGCCCTGACTATACTGTGTGATCACTGTGACCAATCACAGTGAATAACACAATAGTACACAATGAATGGCTATGAATGGAAGCCATCCATTGTCTACAATTGCCATGTGATCTGCTGTGATTAGTCACAGCAATCACATGGTACCGGCAGCGGCCGATACACTGATCTGATCTGTCATCTGCTGTGTTCGGTGGACACAGCACAGTGGGTGACAGATCATGCTACAGTGTGGTCTTTGTGACACACATGAGATATGTTCTTGGGAGGAAGTCATGTTATGTCCATCCAAAACTAGAGAGCAGATACTGTACATAGAATGTTATTATATCCCTTAAAGTGTATGTGAAGGCAAATAAAAAAAACATACAGTATATAGTACATGTCTTCAATAAATGACATTTTTGCATGTTGTATTTATAAATACCCTACATGGTAATTTAAACAATAATGCCAATACTGCCAAATTCTTCCAAAAATGTACTTAGCTCCTAAGTCTTGTTGTTGGCATTTTTGTAGACTGAGCAGTTACACTTCTCACCGTATTTTCTTCTAAATTAATCAACCATTTACACTCTCAGATTTCTACTACATAAAGGCGAATCATTCTGTAGTGACAAATAAAAGGCTAGGAGGGCAAATAAACTATTTCTGATAACAAAGGAGGTAAGCAGAGGACACAGGACAGGTGTAAATGTATTAAAAGTTTTTTACACTTATCAAACATATATAATAAAAATGCTTCTGGCGGTATATTTACCAGACCAAATGAGAGCAAATTAAGCAGCTCATTGTTAGAGTTTATATACACTTTATCCGTACCTACACTTTAATTGACTCTTCTCAAGGGACAATAGCTATAGTTAGGTTTATCTTCCTTACAGTTGAAGTTCCCTTTTATTCATTTGCCTTTCACTGCACTGTTTCCAGTTCTATAATGTCTTTTTTTATGGACTGGTGTGTACAGCACAGTGTACACAGTTCAGCAGTCTAGAGAATGTAATGTATAGCACAGCGTACATACTGCAGCAGTTATTTGGGAGTATACAGTATATTGTACAAAGGGGCACTGATAGTTAAAATGAAGATATTGAGTTTACTGTAGAGTATGAAAGTTGACAGAGAGATGAAAGTGAAAATTCTGTTAGCAAGACAATAACCTACAAGGCCTATCTCAAGGAGACTTCCTGGATAAAGCAGATTTTTGGGTTGATTTACTAAAGGCAAATAGACTGTGCACTTTGCAGGTGCAATTGCACTCATTTTCCTTAGTAAATGCAATGTGGTTACATTTCACTTTGTAAAGAATAGCTTACCTGGAACACAATTAAAAAGCTCTGCATACATTGATTATTCTGGGTCACTGTCCTTAGTATGTAGACTTTGTTTTTTTCCGCTGCCATGTTGGATATGTCAAGAAATCTTTGAGTGTGACTAAGCCCTACCTGAACTATACATTTTTCTGTATTGGGTAAATTTCCCCTCACTTTCTTCTGTCTTTATCTGTTATCTGATTAATCGGAAGTGAACTCATGGCAAATTTTGACACAAAAACCATTAACAACTATAAGTAGCAGAAATTCTAATTTCTGACTCCACTATGATATATATATAAAAGTTTTAAGATCCGGTTAGGTAAATCCGCCCTGCTTCCTGTTCTGCATGACATTCAGAAAGAAAGGAAATGACGGATCATCTCATAGCACTCATCCGATAAATAGAAGGGGGCAGCTGGTACACAGACAACAGTATAAGGTTGACAGAGGTTCCACCAGTTCCCCATACATATAACATTTAGAAAACAAGCTTTGTCTATGCATTGGGCTTTAATGGAAGGCCAGAAGGTTAGAAGCTGTGCCCAGTTGGCTTATTTCTGTAGATTCTTATGTTTTTATATCTGCATATTACATATTTTTATTGCAAAATTGGCTTTACCTTTATCTGCAATTTACTTTTGGTCACCCACAGATCACAAATAGCTACATTATTTTTAATTTGTAAGCCTTGTAGTGGGAACATTTATGATATGCTATAATAACTTCTCTACTTTTAGAGTAGATAATGGCTTGCTGGTATGAGAGGAATGTTTGAAAATGTTGATGTTATTCATGAATATTTTGCCAACACCTAAAACTCAGCAATCAGTGCCAGGCTAATCTGCAAATATGCCATGCTCAACCTTTCCAGAAGAATAATGTTTTACAGAGTTGTAACTGCTAGACAATAAAATGAGTTACATTATATGGGATATACGGACAGTTATTCTTTGAATCTATACCTGTGCAAATCCAGGTTGATATATTTAAAGACAAACTCCCAGAACTGTTAAACACAGTGATGTTTTCTGAATATTTATTTCACATCAATTTAAACAATGGCAGGGTAAAATTTTAGCTGTTGCATACAATGGTGCAGAAAATGAAGACACCCTTTTTTAGTAGAAGGAATCAGAAGCATTAGTATAATGGAAATCTCCTTTTAAAACTACTTCAGCAGGAAAATGTGACTGACACCCAGAACATAGAGATTAAAATGGAGGCATGGGAATTTGGTAGATCACTGTGATGGTGGAGCACATATAAAGCAATTAGATGAAGGAAGTCAGCAAAACATCACCTCATTCACTAAGCC